CCCCTACCTAAATCCCAGTTGGCTTTCACTGAGGACAATGTCTTCCAGGTTCATCTAGGTTATATCAGAACTTCATTCCTTTTCAGGGCTGAATATTATTCCATTGTATGGATAGACCACATTTTATCCATTCATCAGCTGAAGGACATGAGTTGTTTCCAATTTTTGACTATTACTAATAAAGCTATGAATATTTCTGTACAACTCTTTATGTGAACATATTTTTAATTCTTTGGGATATATACCTAGAAGTAGATTTGCTGAGGAACTGGGGAACTGCCAGACTGTTTTCCAAAGTGATTGCACCATTTGACATTCCCACCTGCAGGGTATGAGGGCTTTAGTTTCTCCACATCCTTGCTGACACTTATCTGTCTTTTTGATCATAGCCATCCTAGTGAGTATGAAGTGGTATCTCATAGTGGTTTTGATTTGCATTTCCTAATGACATTGAGCGTCTTTTCATGCGTTTATTGGCCATCTGATTACCTTCTTTGGAGAAATGTCTATTTAGACCCCTTGCCCATTTTTTAATGTTTTGGTTTTTTTTGTTTTGTTTTTGGTCACTTTGAGTTCTTCATATATTCTGGATATAAGTCACTTATCAGATATATGATTTGGAAATATTTTTTCCTATTCGGTGGGTTGTCTTTTCGCTTTCTTAATGGTATCATGGCACGAAAATTGTTATACTTGATGTGATCTAATTTACCTATTTTTTCTTCTGCTGCTTGTGCCTTTGGTATTATATCTAAAACAACATTTCCTAATCCAAGGTCATGAAGATTTGCTCCTACGCTTTCTACCAAGAGTGTTATAGTTTTAGATCCCACATTCAGATCTCTGATCTAACCAATTAACAACTGAGTTAACTTGTGTATGGTGTGAGGCAGGGGTAATAGTGTTTTTGATGAATTGGTCTTCACTGGAGGAAGATGGTGAACCAATTCACGGTTTTCAAAAGTGGCAAATAAAAGGGGAAGAAACAGTATTTATCCTGTTTTTCCTTCACAATTAATATTGCTAGTTAATAAGCAAATAGTTGCTATGAGGAAGTTTCCCTTTAAAGAATTCCAACTCATAAATGAAGGAATTAGATTATGATCATTCTGTATTCTCTACTGAACTAATAGATCTAGGCCACTATGGCTATAAAGGGCTGTTGACATCACCGAGAGAGAGATGAATGGATGTCAAGTGCTTCCAAATAAAGAAGGCACTACCACCAGCCCGAGGTGTGAGAGGACTGAACTTGAATGTGATCAAGCGGCCAGTTCCAAATGCCAGTTTACAGGACATAGAGAAGGGAGAGGGACAGGTTATATGACTCCACAGAGATGCAATCAGCAAAAGTCTGAGAAACTCTATAATACAGACAAATAACCTGGGTTGTTCAACAGACTGCAAAGGAAGAAATATAGATGGAGAGGAAGCTACAGGTTAAAAGAAATTTAAGAGACAAATTAGCTAAGCTCAAACATGGGATCTTTATTTAAATCCTAATTCAACTAAACAACCACCAAAAAAATTACGACGTGGAATTATGATTAGAAATTTAATACTGACTGAATATTTTGATATATTAAGAAATTACTGTTACTTTTTTTATGTATAAAAGTGGTATCATATTGTAATTACTTTTTTAAAAGATTCTTTATATTTACATTTTCCTACATTTATAGGAAAAACAAATTGATGATATGGTAGAAATCAGGTCACATGTATGGTTTCAATTTTTATAAAAAGCAGGTACTCTGTAAAAAAAAAGAAAGAAAGAAAACTCTCTGTGTTTCATAGCTATGACTAAACAAATACAAATATTGAGAAGACCAAAGTAAACCATTTCTTGATGGTTAAGAGTTATGTTTGGTGGTGTTAAGTATAGGGACTTGGCTTTCTCCTCTATCATGTGAACTCTGCTTTTGTGGTAGAAGAAAACCTGTTTTGAAGGCAGCTCCTTCATAAAGGGATGGGTGTGGTTCTGCCCATGCTAGAATGCTGGCAAAGCAAGACACTATGAGAGGGTCTGAAGTCCACAGCACACCTACGGGGAGGTTGATACTAGTCTGAGGGTCTGGATGATGGCTGTCCACAGAGGGGCCACGCAGAGAAGGTGCATCTGGAGTGACAGAATGATTTCGGTTCTGAAGCCTCATCATTCCATCCCCTCTCCACTCAATCTCACCTATGAACCTGTCCCTCCTGTTTGCTGAGTGGAGCCTCCACACCTGGCTGCATATCAGAAAGACCTGCACAGTTCAGGACACAGGTTTCCAGACACAAACCCCAAGTCTGAACCTCCAGGGCTCTACAAGCTCCCCAAGCCTCTTGCAAAGAGGACAAAGGCCAGGGACACAACCACAGATGAGCAACTTACTCCACATGATTAAGCTGTGCTCACCGGGATATGTAGGCGGGGGACCCTTGTGCAAGCTTAGAAGTCACAAGTCCTCTGTGCCAGAAAGTGCTCATCAACCCCACATGCCTTCCACAGCTGCCCTGCTGTCACCTACTCCCGCCTATGACAGACATGCGGGCCACTCAGACCCAAAAGGCAGCGGTTAGAGAGAGAGATGCAGGGCTCACCCCCTTCCAGGAGTGACCCATTGGGACGGAGACCTGTGAAAACAGACAACCTCTCGCTGGGAGGAAGGCAAAACATGCTCACTACACAGCTAAGGAATCTGGGGTCCCACCAAAACTTTCCTTCTGGAAGCTTTGACATGTTTTGGGGAAACCATCTCTGCACAAAAGTTTAAAAAAAAAAAAAAAAGCTAATGCAGGAATAAATTCTAAGATTCTGAAGTACTTCAAGAAGAAAATGAGAGTAAGTCACTAAAATGAATAGTTCACATGATTACATGTGTTTTTCTCTTCTAGGAAGAAAAAAAAGCTAACTCTTCTATATATACAAGTAATTCTCCATTTTACAACGTAAGGACTTTTAACCTCCTGCTTTCAGAAAGAAAGAAGAGCAAGTTTATTTCACAATTTCATCAAGCATTTAAATTCTTATATATTTTTCAATGGCTATGGGGCAACAGGACTAGCCTCTGCCAAGTATCAGATTCTGAAGGAAATCTACATGAAAGAACAAAGGACAGAGTAGACCCCAAAGTAAGTGGCTCCCAAGGCTGACTGGGAGTCCCCATGGTGGGAATCACACATGGTGACAAGCAGCCTAACAAGAACATTCAGGGACACGACGGTTCCTGTTTGGTTCACCTCTGTGGTGGACAATGTTATCGTTTTGGGTTATACCATGCTCACAAAAACATGATTACCTGCCAATAAAATGTTACTATCAATAGGCATAAGTCAAACAGATCAAAGTTTGGGGGCATCTCACAAGTGCCAACAGGACTTCCTAGGTGTTGTGCATCTCTGGGTGGGAGGCGACCCATCCTCTGACACCCTCAGTGGGAAGAAGGAAAGGGTGCTACAAAAGGCAGGCTAGTAGAGCCAGGACTATGCCTTGTTGAGAAATAAGAGCATCTTCTTTGATTGCAAGTTTTATTTTAGCCCCCAGATGGTGGTGCTTCAGGGTTCTCAGAAGCTCCCAAATCCAAGACGCTGTTGTGGTGGCTCAGTGAGTGTGCAGAGATTAAAGTACTAACTGGCAGAATCTTCACAAGAATCCTCAGTTTGCAAAACACCCGAAAAGGAAAGATAAGGCACCCTGCAGAAGGGAACCCACAAAGACCCAGCCAGGCGTGCTAGGCTCCTCCCTGCAGCACAGATTCGCATCTCTGCCCATGCATGGCTGGCATGAGGGGACATAGGCATAGCCCAGTGGCTGCCCAATGTGCTGTCAAGCCTGAGGCTGAAAAGGCCAATCTAGCTGAGCTAGAGGGCTTTCTTAAGAGCCGAGGTCCTCTTCACCGATGTGCAGTGCTCAGTTCCTAGCCAGAGCAAAGTGGATGCTTCTGTCTGAACCTTCCACCAATGAACCCTGTACTCACATCCAGCATATCCGTTTCTCCAGTGCTTTTCATCAAGGTCCTTTTCTCATGGCAGAGAGGCACGTGCACTTCAAGAAGGTCCCTGCCACAGCCTTGTGTGTCAGGGCTGCTCTAACAGTCACGTCCCAAGACCCAAATTTCATTTTCAGGGTCACTTATTAACTCGCACAGTAGCCCTCAGCTTCTCCCAAATCTCACCACAAAGGGCTTTTTCTTCTTTCTACCTCAACACTTGAAAACAGTTTCAGAAGTAAAATTACCATTCTATATACTCCCAGAGTTTATGATTCCCATCCAATAAACACCTGAAGGGCAGCAAGAGCCCCAGCCAAGATGCCCCCAGTCTAGTTAAGATATCCGGGACACTCTTCTGGCCCAAATGGACAGTCAGCAACTTCTCTTCAGGTGATAGAGTTGTCATAATATATAATACAATGCTAGGAAGCAACCTAGAGGTAAAAATCAGGTCCCACTTGTTCTATGATTTTGTAGAACCTCACTATAACAGCATGTCTGGGCCATCACTGGCAACTGCACACAGGAGATGAGGAGACAGACGGTGGGCAGTGGAATATAGGGACAGTGCTCTCCCTCCCTCAGTTACCACCTGCAGGGAAGAGCTGGGAGCTGACCCATCAACCCCACATCACTGCAAGAAAGACCAGGAACAAATGTGGCACTCTGGTATCCTCTAGGAAGACTACAGAGGGTGAGCCACAGGGCAGTCCCTGGCACTCACAAAGACAAGTGAGAACATGCAGAGAGCACCTGGTGACCCAGCACCCCTGACTCAACGAAAGGGGACCAACCACAGGCAGCCGTCCACCCACTAGACTAGGCGCACAGTGCCCAGGCACTGACAGTAAGAGCTGCCACGTGAGGCAAGGTCTTCCCCAGTGAAGGTTCAAGCATCTATTTTATAATAACAAAGGTATTACAAACGTCTGTCATTAACCATGACTACAATGCAATTCACCACATTAAGAGATTTTCATCTAAGCTCTAAGCAGGATCTGTGGAAATAAAGCACTCACACACCTTGTTTACTCTCTGGGGATAATACTTTTGCTGTTCCAAAATCTGTGATCTGGATGTGCATATCTTCATTTAACAAAATGTTTTCTGGTTTCAAGTCCCTGTGAAAGCAGATTTTTTATATTTGAGATGAATTATTTAAAACAGTAAACTACATACTCTAGCTTTCGCTAAAAACAAAACGAACTAGTTAACACTTATAATCTTTATAGACTAACAACCAAGAATGCAAAGTCTAAAGTTCATAATGAACAAGTATCAATCAATTGCATATAATGAAGACATTCTAATTATATCACTTCATAACTACCTACCGTTTTTAATAAACATTTTACTAAAATACAAACTATAATTTTTAAACCATAAAATAAAGAGCTTTTAAACCTATTGTGGGAATCATTTCACAGTATATGTAAATTAAACTATCATGCTGTACACCTTAACCTTACACAGTGATATATGTCAGTTATTTCTCAAACTGGAAAAAATGTTAAAATTGTAAATTTTATGTGTATTTTACAGTTTTAAAAAGTCAGTTAAAGAAAGTTTATTTGCATACTTTCAACTTGAGTTTATCAGAAAGCCCTGGTAAATGAGACCAGAACATAAGAGCTACAGATGACAAAATAATAGTTGTCGTCAAGATGGGTAGGAAAACTGTTAGCCTGGCAAAAAAGACATCTGAGCCATTTTATCTTATAAGTGAAGATCCATGAGGCTCTCAACATCAGGGTGATGTGAACTCTCACATGAGGGATCCCACCCTCCATTAGGTAAACCAGAGCTGCCCCAGGGAGCCCCAGGCCCCAGCTTGGTACCTGTGGATGATGCCCCTGCCGTGCAAATACTCTAGAGCAGACACCATCTCGGCTGTGTAAAATCGGGTGCACGTCTCATCGAATGAACCAATTTTGCGAATGTATTTAAGTAGTTCTCCATTTTTGGCATAACTAAGGCCAAAATCTAAATATTGCACAGTTAAGGAAGAACGCAGAAGTGATTTTTTAAAACTAACCTTAACAACCCAATAGGAATTTTTTAAATTAATGAAAACTGAAGATACCTGTGGCCCGAGACTGCTGCCCCTCTTCGAGTCAGACCAGGTCATGGTCAGACCTATGGCCGATGGGAATCCTGGGTCCCAGCACCCGGGCGAGTCCCCAGGGTAGGTTTCTTGCCAAGAACAAAAGCCTCTCAGCCCAGCTGCCCCTTCTGGACCTCACCAGTCCCAGAAGGCACCTGTAGCCCCAGTGAAGGGCAGCTGCTAGAGATGGCAGTCGAATGCCTCTTTGCAGGCTTCAGCCAAGGTGTGTGTGTGGCGGGGGGCGGTCCTCCATCATAATCCAGTCCACACACCTGCATAGTGCGTACACATTTACTGAGCACCAGCTGTGCTCCACATGCTATGCTAAGAGTCAGTTCATGTAAAGGTTTCTCAAATAAATGCTCCAAGTATAAAGTGACAAGTTTTGTAAGAGAAATGCCATTTTATTAATTTCTTGAGTCAATCTATTTATGGGCACCCATTGGGGAGAGACTTGAGGAACACAGTCATCCTTCCCTTGGACACCACTGCAGGGCAATTTGTTTAATTTCTATTCTCCCTTTTCCAAAGAGGATTAAAGCTTGCAGAAATAAATGGATCTCATGTAATTGCTTCCTCCTAGAAGCACCAAAGGTCTGCGTCTATTAATGGAAATCTAAAGGTACTTTGCAGCTCCCTGGTAGCCAGGGACACAGTGACCCGAGTCCTCGCCTGCCCTGAGCAGTCTCTAAGGTTTGGAAGGGGTGGCCTGTGCTCAGGGTATTCCATCTGGCTTGTTTGCCAAGGCACTGCTATCTCCCACCAAGGAAGGAGTCTGAACATGCAAGTACAGTAGGGACAAGCCCAGGAGGAAGAGACCAGCCACAAAGGCTGTTTGAACCTGCCCTGGATCCAGCTGCACCTGTGGCCACCTGAGCCCTTTCAACTAGGATGCTTAACAGGGACCTGAAACAAAAATCTTAGTTCTAGGGAATCCAAAAGGTCTCAGCCGGGCTGCCTTTCCATTTGCCCTGCTCTGCTCCCTCTATCGGGAAGGCTGCAGACTCTGGCCCACTTGACCCAAGCAGGAACTTGGCACTGCCTCAGCAGGTGGCCCCACCTAGATTAGTCAAGGAGCCTCACCAATTAGGAATGCCTCTTCCCAAGAGCCTGCAGCCCACAGAGGCTTGGCCATGGTCACAGGCACTGCACCTCTTTCCACTTAATGGGTTCTGCACCTTATCTGACCATCTCCTGAGTTCCTGTTTCCTATAAGAGAGACACTCACTTCTAGTTCTCTGCTCAGCTATGGAGCTAAGGTGATTGACAGGTTTTGAATATGACAGATGTCAAGGATCACAGATCCAAATCCATGTTCCCTCTGACCATACACATTCTTTATCCCTCAGAAGCACTTTTTCAGACCTCACTGATCCATTTCCCATCCTAGAACATTTCTACCTCCTTCGGCGCAGCCAGTGCCCTGGGGCCCTGAGGAGGAGGCAGTTCTAGTGCATGGACTGGGTGCATTCCCGGAGGATGAGCACAGACCAGGCCTGTGGCAGAGCCCAATGCCTGCATTTTGTAGAGGATCCTGGCACAGCAAGGTTAAGAAACTAACTCGACGTCACAAAGCCAAGGTCTCAAAGCCTAGTGCACTGCTTCTATCCCCAAGCTACAGGAGGGGACACACAAGGACGAGTAGGTGGGGGCAGAGGAAGAATGCCCGCTAGCCAAGTAACCTCTGAGATCCCTCAGCCTTCATCCCTGTGGAAGGGAAAGGCACCCTTGCAGTGCTCAGCCCAGTGCTCCAGCCCGTGAGAGAGGGTAAGGGGCTCGCACTCAGTGGCCTCTTGGAGCTCAGCTCCCTCCCCTGGGAGCAGGGACTGAGTCTGATCAGGCTGAACCTCCAGATGGCAGGGAGGCTACCAGCGCCCAGGGCCCCACAGGGACCAGTCGCCAGTTTCCAGGCTGCCATGAGGGTGTCCCGAGGCTCTGTTCTGCGGGAGGTTTGCCCCTGCAGTCACTCCAGTCTCTCTCCAATGTGTAAATTATGGCTAGAGGAGGGTGGTGTACATATGGGGGCGTATCTTGAGGTAGAGAATTTCCTTTTCTTTCTCTCAATACAATGTACTCCACTAAAGATTTCGAGTGGGGCAGAAGTCTCCGATTTCACTCCTGTCAGAAGTGAAGCAAGTCCTCACAGCCTTCACAGGCACTGGAATTTGCCTTAAAATTGAAGAACAACAGTTACCATTGTACAAAATCTATTACCCTCAACCTACTGTGCTCTAACCAATTCCATCTGAAATTAGAGAACAAGCTCACTCATCTAGATTCTGAGCCACCTGATCCCACCACATGTAACCTTGGAAAAAGGTGAAGCCAAGTATGTGTGTGTGATCTGTCAGAGCCCCCCAACCAACAAGATGCATTGTCCTACAGGCCCTACAGAAAGCCCAAGCCTCCAGAAAATCTGGCAATCAGAGATCTCCACAGGCACGAGGAGCAGAGTCACATAGGTCCCAGGGAGCACAAGGTGTGTGTGTGGGGGATGTCAAGGTGGCCTCAGAGGTGAGAGACACATAGAACAGACATGAAGAGGTCCCTTCAATGTCTTCAGGAGATCACTGATGGCTGTTGCATGAGCATGGCTGCAGTGAGGTGGAGACAAGAGGTAACACTGGAGCCAGGGGTAGAGGCAAACATTCTATTACACCTAACACACCAACAAGGAACCCCCTCCCTGCTTCACATGCCCTTGGCTACTAAGCATCTTTACTGCTCCCCTTTACAGTAAATTCACTGGGAAGAATCTGCCCTGTGTGCTATCTGCACTTCCTCATCTCTCTCTACTGAATCCTACTCCAATCTCCAAACTGCCACTGTCAACGACTTGCACAGGGGCCAATCCACAGGTCAGGTTTAGGTCCATGTGCTTGACCACTCCACAGCATCTAGCCGGGCTGCAGCACCCTCCACCAGAAACCATCTGGTTCTTTGGCCCCCAGGTCTCTGTCCTCTCAACTCACCGGCAACAACACCCCTTTACCCTCAGCCTCCTCGAAGGGTCCCTTCCGAGTATCAATCTTCGCGTGTGGGAATGACCCAGGCTCAGGCCTCAGACCTCTCCCCTCCAATGCCCCCCAGTGGCCAGCCAGCCAGCTGACACTGCCCTGATTCCTTCCTGAGCTCTGCCAGCAGCCATCCAGTAGCCAGCTTAGCCCTGCAGCAGCAACCACCTATGGATGCATCAAATGCCAGCTCAACATCCACTCTCAACTTGGCTTCTCCCAAGTCTCTTCTGGCTCAATTCTAGCACTACTGTGCACTCAGGTCCATAACCGGGAGCCATCTTGACTCCATTCTCCCTTGCCCATTCACTTACAAGAACCTTCACTGTAGCAACAAACAGCTGCCCTGCTTGAGATCTTCCCAGGCTCCCTGCTACACTTAGAAGAAAATCCAAAATTCTTGCCAGGCTTCCAAGGCTCAAGAAGCTGGCCCCAGCCCAGCCTTTCCATTCCACCCACATATATACTATCCTGTCCTCACTCCATCCGTCTCTGCCCGAGGTCATCAACTCAGACCACTGAGCTAAAACAGAAGCACACTCCAACACTCTCCCTTACCTGGCCTTACTATTCTCGGCCCCTTAGAGTCTATTATGCAGGTACTGATCACCTGTGTTATTTATCTCCTCCACAAAAACGTAAGCTCCATAAGGACAGAGCCAGTCACCTTATTTACTAGCACATTCCCATCATCTGGCACTCAGCAAGGACTTCTCATTAGACAAAAGCAAATTTAGATGACAACTGGCAAAAATGGTGTTTAAGGGGGAACAGGACTGAGCAAAGTTTTAACCCAGGACAATCTGTGCATATAGGCGAGAGGGAGAGGGAAGGGGAAAGCCTGACTGGTGGGGGAGGGGAAGGGGAAGGGGAAGCCAAACCCTCAAGACACTGGACCAGCTTTGCAAGTGGTGGGTGACGGGAAGAGGCTCTGGAAACCTTGAGGACAGAAGGAAAAGAACAGATGCAAAGACTGAGGTTTAAACTGAACAAGCTCTGAACCAAATCCATTTGACAGTTCAACCTCTCTTGGTCCAGGAGAAAGTCAGGAACATCTGCTGGGATCGAGGACAGAGTGACCAGGCAAACAGGGGCTGAGGGAAATCTTGGTTTAGAAGAACAACTGCAGGAAAGGAGCTGAGGAGTGAGGAGAAACTGGTTGGCCAGGCTGCATGACGAGCAGGCCCAAAAATAAGCAGTATGACATAGATGTATGGCCCACCTTCACTGCCAAAGGTGACCTGTCTCCCTGATCCCTAAGCAAAGGTAAAAGAGGAAAAAGACAGTGCTGCAGGGATTAGAGAGGGAACACGAGATGCCCTCGAATAAAGCAAAGAATCAATGGGTGTGACGTTTCTGCTGGAGAAGCACCTGCGCAGCCTTGGAGAGCCAAAGGCACTGTATGAGCAGAGATATCCACCAGCAGAGAGAGTGGACACCAGAGTGGTACCACAGGGAACTGGAAGAGGGGGAGGAGGGAGGCTGGAGGATCCCAAGGAGGGGCTATCTCTGAGAGGACAGCATCCTGGGTACAGGGAGAAAAGGTCTGGGCTCCTGTGGGTTACTCCCTGGATTTCTCACTTGGGGGCTGAGCCTGGTAAGGATGTCCCTTCCAACCCAACACCTACACACATGGGCCAAAGATGGAAGAGGGGTGCCCTTCTTCTACGAGTCCCGAGTGTCCAAGATAATTCTTCCTCTCACTTCTCTGCTTGAAGCACAGGACTGGACACCTGATAGATATTCCAAGGGCGCTGCTTAGAGGAATGAGGGAAGCCTCTGAATAAATGTATAGCAACCACGGGGTTAAAATAATAACAATCCTTTAGATACAATACTTATCAATTTAAAAAAATCTCAAAAAACATCTGTGATGGTCTCCCTTAATGTAACCCCAGGGGTTCCGAGCCACACTGTGAATTCCTTTGAATGGCTACTTGCGAAAACAGATAATGGTGTCACAATTCCAAAATGACAAGGGGTCACTGTGATTTCTGAATGCTTTGACTGTTCAAAGGATACACAGCTTTTCATCATCCTGAAACGTGAAGTAAAGTTTAACAAAGAAAGGGTGATCCAGGCGTGACATCACATCTCTCTCTCTGGTTACATACGGGACCTTGTTCTCTTTGATAATGTGACGTTTCTCTAGAATTTTAACTTAAGGTAAGAAAGAAGCGAGTTACCACAATTAGAAACAGTAAGAAAATACTAAAGCCGCAACTCATAAAGGTAACTGACCCAAATTATAGTTTTTCACAAAACACAGCCACCAGCTACATGGTCTCTAAGACAGACCAACAGCATCCTATTCCATGAAATCAGCACAGAAACCCCCAGTCACTGGGCAGCTGGGCAGCCACATACCCAGAAGCATATTGTCCCTGTATCCCAAACACAGTTCAGTGAGTCAGTACTTACTAGCATATTCCCTTGAGGTTGCCAGTTCTCGGGCCAGGACAACCTGGTTTGGGAAGAAAAAAGGGAAGGAGAAGAGAAAAAACACCCAATGTAATTAGGGCACTGAGTTTCACAAGTCACTCCAAATCCAATCGTATATGCTACCCCGCCCTCACCATGAAATTACATTTAAATATTTGAAATTACATTTAAATATTTTTGGTCCTGTGCTAACAAATACAGCTGAATGTCAATGACTAAGTTAATGTATTCCAATAGATAAGAGCAAATACATATCTCTCTCAACAGCTTTCAGGAGGTTCTTCATCAACAGCCAATAGTTCCCACTGTGCAGTGAAGTGTACATGCAGGAATATCAAGACCAGCGTCACCCTCACAAACAATAAGAAGCAGAAGCAAATAAAGCCTCCACAAGTGAGTACTGGAAATTTCTTTAAAAAATAACTTTAAAAATAAATGCTTAGTGTATGTTCATTGCAAAAAAGGCACCCTGAATTTGGGCTGCTCCAAATACCTGTTGCCGTAATTTCACTTGTTGCTCTCAGACATTGTAACTACCATCCCTGATATCAAGGGCGCAGGAAACAAAATCATATGTGGCCTGCAGACAGTGCCTCCTGAGAGTCCTGATCCCCCACAGGATGCAGTCACACTCCCAGCTCTGTGGCATACCTGAGTCTGGGACTCCAACTTAACTTGGGGGACAGGGCATCAATGGAGATTGCACCACGGGAAAGGCCTTTCTACAAAAGCAAACCCTGGGCACAACCTAGGCGCCAACTTCTAAATGCCCAATGAGCCCAGTGTGGCAGTATGCTGGGTGGCCCCCACCACTGCCAGCTGGTATAAATGCTTCTCCTAAGACACCTGCAGGGGGATGGCCTAAGGACCAGAGAGCAGTTGAAAACCTGCCCAACTCCTGGAAAATCCCTGGGCCTTCTGGAAAGATCTCAGGATGCCATGGACCCAGTTTATTCAGCCTGAGTATCAGTTATATCTTGGTACAGAATTCTTTCCTAGACTTATCGGAAGTGATCCTGGAAAAGCACTGTGTGAAACACTCTGCAGTCATTAAGAATGAGGTTGGACTGCATGTACTCAAGTGGAAAGATCTCAAAGATCTTTCCAGAGGAATGTACCTGTGTGGACTGTTCTCAGGCGCCGGAGAGTGAAAGGGAGTGAGCTGGGGAAACTTCCCTTCTCTAGGTTATGTATTTATGCAATGTTAAATTTCTTCACGGGAGCATATACTAGCTATGTAAGTAGAAAGAATATGAATATTTAATGGAATCCTTTCTGAAGGAGATAGTTTTGTTATCTTTCTGTTGTGTGAATTCAGCATTTCACATAAGGTTTCCTTATGGGCACAAGGCAGGGAATGCCCCTCTTCCACAGATCAAGGCATGCTGCATCCCTCCACACCACCTGGGCTGATGGCCAGGCTAATCTGGCCATCATGATCATCCTTAGGGAGCTGGATGGCAGCAGGCCAACCTCCCTTTGCCCCAGCACCAGGCTCTGCCAAGTGAAGACCTGCTCAGCCTGAGAACTGCTGCTTGTCCTAATTTTAAGTGGTCTCTATTTTAGGAGTGGTGAGAAAGAAATGAGGGAAGTACCTATAACATGAGAACCAGGACTGCAGGATTCTGCAACACACCAGGAAGGAGTTTCCAGCTCACAGCACTTCCCGTCACCTCCCCAGCACAGGGATGAAAAGAGCCCGTGCTAGGGCTTCTCACCATCAGAAGCATGTCACCCAGACAGTGATACTGTTACCCACTGTGGAAGCCCAAGGACATGGGAGGAATTTCACAAGCAAATCCTCACTTTCCAGTCAAGACAAATGACCAATGAAGTAAAGCTGAGAAAGGAGAGACCTCTTCATTTACTGGACCGTAGTAAGTAACCATGCAGAATACCAAAGTTCTCTTTAAAATAGATTCTTTTTTTTCTGAAAAAATCTGAGTGTACCAGAAGGACTGGGGACTATCATCAAGTTGAAGGTTTTTACCTTGAGGGCACAATTCTTTCATAATTTAAACAAGACTTCCAATTAAAAAATCTAAATTAAAAGTGTAAGAGGAGCAAAAGTTAAGGATGATCATGATGGCCAGGCTAATTGAAACAATGATGGGAACACAGGGGAGCTATAATATTTCATGACCTTCTTTGTATTTTGAAATACTTAATAAATGTAGAAAGAGAAAGAAGACCAAATTTCACATAGGTTTCTTCGCAAAGGCCAAGCAAGGAAGACATGTTGTTCCGGAATCCTGCAGGTGTTAGGGTCTGTGTAGTGCCACCCAGGTGTGTCCACAGCACTGCTGGGCCCAGCTCAGAGACCATAATGGCAGGGAGCTGTCTTTTTATGAAGGCACAGATTTAGACCGGGGAGCAGGTGCTTGGGCCTCCCCTGAGACTGCCGCAAGCCCCTGTCTCTCCCACAGCCACATGGGGCTGCCACCTCCACGAAGGGGCTACTTTGAACCTTCATTTCTTTGCTTTAAGAAGAAAACTACCACAAACTAGATACAACTCACTTGAGTAGCAAAAAGAGTTACCCTAATTGTGACCTGTCAGTGCTGTGATAACATTTCTGTTTATGAAACTGAGGACACAAGACTCTGGAGGCTAGCAGGGTCTTCGGCTGTAACGGCAGCAAGGGTCAAGGGTGTACTGTTTTACATATGTGTACATATACACACACACACACACACAGACATATATATATATTTAAAATTTGGAGAGCTAATTTTAAATAAAAATCTGATTAAAGAGAAAAAAAATAAAAAATAAAAAAAATCTGAGTCTCCTAGTGTCAAGCCTAGTTCGGCATATCTAAAGAAAACACACTCATTCAACAAACAGCAGCAGCATGTACTCACCGTTGAAAAAGAGCCTTCGCCAAGAATTTTCCCGAATTTGAAGTCTTCAGGCCGTTTCTTCCGAGGCTGCGGTGGTGGCTGTGTGGTGTGTTGCAGCGAGTTGGCACTTGGGCGGGACTGAGCTGCGGTGCTGTCCATGGTGGGACCCTGCCTGCTGCCACCGCTGGGAACGCCAGGGGCCGTGCCGGACTCAGTCTGGGTCCTCACCATTGATGGGGATGGGCAGGAACATAACACCACACTGGACTGAATAGGAACGGTGTCATACTGGTGGACAAGAAAAAAAGGTAAGACTCAAGCAGCTCACTTTTCCTAAACATACGAACTAAAGTGTTGACACTAGTGAAACACAAACACCGAGTACACAGCAGGCCATCTTATCTTTTGCCGCACAGGTAAGGCTGTCGCCCTCCTCTCCCAAGTCCCTTCCCTGCTCAAATCCTAGTCCACCGACCCGCTTGCCCATGGACCCCACCACCTAGTACCTATCTGCCCTCACCCTCCTTTCTTAGCACGGCACGAGTCTCCAACTCACCCTCACCCAAAGGCCATTTAGTTGGCCTTTCCCATCACTGCCCAATCTAAACACCATCTGTGGCTAACCCCTGTTCACAAAGGAAACGGGTCCAAACCTTGTAACCAGTGTCTCCCACTCCAGAACCCCTCATCTTGCTCACCCACTCACAGCTGATATGACAAGACACACGGGAAGTCACTCAGTTAGGGCTTGAACAAACAGACTGGCTTGAGACTGCATCGCAAAACTAAACAGAATTTTAACCTGGCAGTCCTGGAACACAGAAGTATAATTTAATGGCAAGAAGAGTCCAAGAATCGCCAACTGCGCGTAAAAATTATAGTCGATTAAAAAAAAAAGCTTCTCAAAAAACAAAACAAAAATACTGTGGAATAACTGGTTAACAATCTGGAAAATAACTGATTTAGAGCCAAACTTTTCCCTATACACCAAAGTTACCTCCAAACCAATTAGAGTTATGTTTTTAAGTTATTTAAACAAATATTTACCTTTTAAAATTATTCAATGTGATCCTTATTAAAATCTCAACTGGTGTCTTTGCAGAAATTGACCAGTTGATCCTAAAATTCATATTGAAAGTCAAGGGAGCCAGAATAGCCAAAACAATCTCAAAAAAGAACAGTTAGAGGACTCACACTTCCAGATTTTAAAATTTAAAAAAACCTACAGCAATCAAAACAGTTTGGTACTGTCATAAGGATAGACACATAGATGAATAGAGTCCAGAAATAAATCCATACATCTACTACAGCCAACTGATTTTTGACAAGGGTGCCAAGATCCTTCGATAGGAAGAACAGTCTTTTCAACAAATGGTGCTGGGACAATTGTATAACCGCATGCGAAAGAATGAAGTTGGATGCTTTTCCCACATCATATATAAAATTTAACTCAAATGGATCAAAGATCTACATGTAAGATCTAAAGCTATAAAACTCTTAGAGGAAAATATAAGAGTAAATCTCCGTAACCTTAGCAATGGTTTCTGAGATATGAAACCAAAAGCACAAGCAACAAAAGAAAACAACAGATCAAAGGGACTTCACCAAATTAAAAACTTCTGTGCTTCAAAGGCACCCTCACAAAAGTGCAAATCATGTATCTGATAAAGGACTTGTAGCCAGACTATATAAGAAACTCTTAAAACACACACACACACACACACACACACACACACACACACACACACACACACACACACACAAACACCACACACAAAAAAATAGGCAATAGATCCAAAATACAAATGGCCAATAAACACATGAAAAGATGCTCAACATCATCAGCCACTACAGAAATGCAAATCAAAGCCACGATGAGATTCTACTTCAGCCTACTAAGGTGGCTATAATCAAAAACACAGAAAATAACGAGGGTTGATAGGGATGTAGAGAAATTGGAACCCTCATACATTGCTGCTGAGAATATGAAATGGTGTAGTCACTTTGGCAAACAGTTTGACAGTTCTTCAAAAGGAAATGTATATCCCAGCAATTCCACTCCCAGGTGTATACTCAAAAGGAATGAAAACATATTTGTAAAAGAATGTTCATAGCGGCATTACTCACAGTAGCCCCAAAAGTAGACACAACCCAAATGTCCATTCAGCCATAAAAAGGAAGGAAGTATTGATATATGCTACAATATAGATGAATATGGAAAACATGATGCTAAGTGAAAGGCCAAGCACAAAAGGCCACAAACTAATACGATTCTATTTACATAAAATGTCCCAAACAGGCAAATCTATAGAGACAGAAAGTAGATTAGTGGTTGCCAGGGGCTGAGGGAGGGGGAATGGGGAGTGACTGCTAATGGGTCCGGAGTTTCTTTTTGGAATGATGAGGATGTTCTGGAATTGAATGGTGGTAGTGTTTGTATAACCCTGTGAATATACTAAAAACCACTAAATTATACACTTTAAATGGGTAATCTGTATGGTATATGAATTATATCTCAATAAGCTGTTATTAAAAAAAGTTGTATCACATGACTGCATTAATTTATATATAAGAACTCATTCAAATCTATAAATCAAGACTTTTAATGAAGCAATGGACAAGGCATAGGCACCAAAATACCTCAAGTAACCAAGAGAAGAAAACATGCACTGTATTCAAAGACAAGTTAAAGCAATGGGGGGATGAATTAATAGATAAGAATGATGATTAAATATGTTTTCAATACACAGAGACACCCAATGTTGGTGAGCAAGTACAATTGCTGCTGGCACCATAAACCTGTGTTGCTGTTAAAATGTTTTTGGAAAGCATTTTGGTAATTTGTCAACAAAGCAACAACAAAACAGTTGTCAATGAGACACAAAGAAATACTGAAGAAAAGTGGGTATAAATACAGTTAAAATTTCAGATAGGTATTAGAAAGGATTAGATAGCATAAAGTAAAATTGGAAATACAAAAAAGTTATAACCACAACCATAAAAAAATTTCTAACTCTGACCATGAAGTGTTCTTGCAGTGACATCATTAGCTTACTCACCACCAGACTGCTATAGAACAACACGAAATGAACTCAGGGCACCCAGATCTGTTTCTAACAGTATTTTCCATTAAAAGAACCCAGGAGAGCACCTGACTCCATGTCCTGGAAACAAAAGACGATCGATATGGTCCAAGAATGCCTTGGTGGGTCTGAAAAGGAGGTGCCTTCATGAGTCGTGGCAGCAGGAAAGAGCAGGGAAGCTGGACTATAGGGGCTGCCAATGGCCAAATTGTGCTGTAAACACTAAAAAGAGATCAGTAAGTACAGCTAATCAGAATAAGCTGAAACTGGGAAAAATCATGAGTCTATAACAATACATACAGGTGACAGAAAGCATATCAATATTGTAACATAAAAACAAGCTGAATACAACTGAATGCTTAATTTTATAAATTTAAATAGCTAAGGGAGTGCAGCCAGAGCTCTGTTTCTTGTATTGTGTATCTATTTCTTCATAAAGAATAGACAAAAATATCCTTTCTACACTTACATAAAGAAGGGAGACACAGAAAACTATGAAGAAGCCAGAATCCTGCAGAAACAGCACCAAGAACAGGAAAGACAGGTGAGTACACAGTAATCGATGGTATGCAGTGGGTGACACCTCAGTCACCACAAGAGAAGAGCTAATGGAGATGCTCATCTCGAGATGCATAAAAACAAATCTAGGCGGAACATCCTGTGACCCAAACATGATGAGCACGGAGGTGAAGAGAGGCAGCAGATGGCAAAAACAGCCAAAAGCCTGGGCAGTCCCTGCAGTGCCATATAGCAGGGAGGCTCAGACAGGATCACCCTGGAATACACTCTACGTCCCATTCTCAGCCAAGGAGCCATCATCAAGAACTCTGGAGCTGCACCACAGTTGAGAGGAGGTTTCTTTTACTGGTAAGATCATTGTGACTCCAAGCAAAGTACAAAAATATGAAAGAATTAACCAACCACACAGTATCAAGGAAATATTAGGAGAATATAATGAACTGACTTTGTAAAAAACATCTAAGAGAACCAAATTTTTTTAAATGTGGCACCTGGTGCTGACATGACAGTGCTATAGGTCTCTAGCTCAGCAGTTCCCAACCTTTTTGGCACCAGGGACCGGTTTCATGGAAGACAATTTTTTCCATGGACCAGGTGGAGGGGGTGGTTTCAGGATGATTCAAGTGCATTACATTTATCGTATACTTTATATCTATTATGTTGTCATATATAATGAAATAATTATACAACTTGCCATAATGCAGAATCACTGGGAGCCCTGAGCTTGTTTTCCTGCAACTAGACAATACCATCTGGGGGTGATGGGAGACAGTGACACCTGAAGTGTGTTGCTTATGTCCAGTCTACTCCATAATCTCATTTTGGTTGCTGTCACTGCAAAAAACCCTGCTTCACAAAGATAGGATGTTAGAAATAGAAGCAGGCTTTTCAGTGCTTTTATGGCCATCTCACGATATTCTGCCTTCAATCCAGAATGTACGGAGATTTAAAGTTGTCTCAAACATACTTTTAAGGACATCATCATTTGCGATCTCAAACAGCTGATCCTCTTCTAGCATGGACAAAGTTGATTCACCTGGCTTATTCGTAAATGGGTCACAGATCTATTCCTTCTTTTGTGGTTGGGAAGTAATGCTCAAACTCTTTTGAAAGCTGAGACGGGATCATGCACCAGCTGGGAGAAAGAAAGCCCTGGCTCAATCAATCGCTAATGTTTGAAACATCAAAAATCCCAATGTTCACTCATCGCCCCTATAATTTCCATTTGGCTTTGAATGCAGCCACTTTATCTACCAACTTGAACACAGTTGTCGTTCTCCCCTGAAGTGAAAGACTGAGTTGGTTAAGCAGGTTGATATGTCATACGACCAAGTTTTGTGACCCATTCTGTGTCACTGAAATGTGCTGCCAGTGTTAACTGTTTTTCTAAAAGAAATCTCTGGAGCAGCTCTCATAACTCAAAAACTCTGGCCAGTGATCTACCTTTAGAAAGCCATCTCACTTTTGTGTATAAGAGAAAACGTGTGTGCTCTGTGTCCATCTCACAGAGCTGCGCAAACAGATGTGAGTTAAGGGCATGTTCTTTAATGTGGTTGATCACTTTAATCACATCCTGCAAAATGTTAAGTTCAGGTGACATTTTTTGGCTAGCCAGCTTTTCTCTATGGATGCTACAGTACATAGACTCACATTTAGAAACGACCTCTTTGACACGAGTAGTGTCCAGAAAGCCATCCAGTCATGGCAGCCACTCTGTCCGTGCATGTACCAACACAAAATGACCAATTCAGTTTCCCTAATATGTTATCATTCAAAGATTTGAATAGTTCTGCAGCTGTGGTGTTGGTTTGGCAACAAAAGCACACATAACATATCCTCGTACACATTCTCCTTAAAAACACATCACGTAAAAATGCTTTGTTGTCAACGTCGGTAGACTTGTCAACCAGGATTGCATACCAGTGACTCATTTATCCTCTCTAACAACTGTGCCTCAATATCCTATGCTGTTTCATCAATTCATCTAGTTATGGTGCTAGCTGAAATAGGAACACGTGCCATCTTTTGAACCACAGCCTCTCCTAAAAGTTCATGACAAATGTCCTTAGCAACAAGCAGGTAATAGTAAAGGGCTTCTTAGCTTCAGCAATGCGGTTAGCCACGAAGAATGATGCTCTCAGGGCAGACACGTTTAGTGAACTGGCAGCCTTCAATAATTATTTCCATTCTTCATGTTCACGTTTAAAAAAAAAAAAACCTCCAAGGCTTGTCTTTTAATGCATGGTGTTTCGTTTCCATGCAGCAAAGCAGTTTTGAAGGTTTCATGGCTTCGTTGGATAGCCAGTCACCACATATTATACAAAGCGGGCTTGGAGAATGTGAATCACCTGTTGCAATGAACCCATAATTTAAGTAGGATTCTAGGTATTTTCTTTTAAATGCAGCTTTCTTTTTGTTGGTAGTCTTAGAGTCTTTGGCTGTCTCATCAGTAGGTCTTTCCCCCTTTTCAAAGAAGCTCTCCAGTGACTTTTTTTTTTTTTTAACTCATCTGGCTAGGGTTAGCTTGTGGGCTTACTAAAACTCTGAGACAAGTCCACAGTGCGAAAAAGAAGCATGGACAGAAGAGGTAAACAAAATGATGGGCAGGCCATGCGCAGACTAAAATAAGTGTCAGATTCTGACTTAAAGCCTGCCACCAGATATAGCTGTACAACTGAAGTACATCAGTTCATTTGCCTCTGTAAAGCCTGCCACCAGATGCAGCTTAATTGTCACTTGCCACTCACTGATAGGGTTTTGATGTGAGTCTGCAAGCAACTGATTTATTATGGTCTCTCTGTAGTCAAACCTCTCTGCTAATGTTAATCTGTATTTTCAGCCGCTCCCCATCGCCAGCATCACTGCCTCAGCTCCATCTCAGCTCATCAGGCATCAGATTCTCATAAGGAACACCTGACCCAGTTCCCTTGCATGTGCAGTTCACGATAGGGCTCACGCTCCTATGAGAGCCCAAAGCACACCATTTCTTTATGGAAAACTGCTGTTTTCTTGAATTCCCCATGGCTCAACAATAAATCAAGTGTGCCTTATACATTTCATAAACATTCCATCTCATGAGAGGTACTAAGGGTTGGACCAAGCTCTGGGGTTCAGTCAGCACCTTAATAATATGCCCCTATAAACAAAGCACACAATCATAACTATACTAAAATAAAATTCAATTATTTCCTCCAGAGATTAGCAGGAACTTTGACCCTCGGGGGCAGAGGTAAGTGGGAAAGAAGTCACGGTTGCCAGGCTGAGGTTTATTAAGAACCATGGTAGGCCTGGACTGTCCTCGCCAGCTGGGACAGCTACGCTGTGAGTGAGGGCTGTGCACACAGAGCGCTGAGCGCCTCACAGGGATCCTGTACACAGCCTAGGAGGAAATGCTCCCTGGGCCTCCAGGGTCATCCCGAGTGCAGACCCTCAGGCCCAGGACTGAAGAGCAGCAGGATGAAGGAACACAACACGAAGGAGGGGAAGCAGGAGGCAGCACTCCACACAGCAAGTCCTGGGCACTACAGCACTGCTTCTATCTACCTGGCCACATGCCCGATCGGCAGCTATCACTGCCCCACAGGATGGAGGAAGGTGGGAGCACCACGTGTCTCTGTCATGCCCTGCCCCACCAAAACTGTCCCACCAAGCATGTAAATCAGATCAACAGGTCTTACCTAAGTTCACCTGGGTGACCAGTTGCCTGCCAAGCAAGGCTCAAGGAGACAACAGAAGAGGCCCACAGGACAGTGACAAATAATTCAAAACTGAAAAGTAAACTACTGAGTAAAATCTCAAACATGAAATGTGTAAATAACAAAATGAGACCAGCTAATTCATGAACCTGAAAAAATGTAACTGTGTATCAACATGTTTCTATGCTCAATGACAATTCTAGCAAAGGCACCAACATATCTGTCACATAAAGGTTTCTGGTACACTCAGGGGACAGCCCATTGATTCTTCTCAGTGAAATCAGGTGTCATAAGCCAGCAGTCCCCAATCTTTTTGGCAACAGAGACCAGTGCTCCTATGAGAATCTAATGCCTCATGATCTGAGGTGGAGCTGGGGAGCAGCTGCAAAAACAGGTGAAGCCTTGGCCCACCACACTTTCTGCTGTGCAGCCTGGAGGGTGGGAGGTTACTGGGGACCCCTGACATAAGTGACATCCAAGAGCAGTGAGGAGTTTTCCAAAGGTTCAGCCACAGTGGCTGAGGAGGCAAGGCAGAAGAGGTAGCAGGTCCACGGGAAGCAAGGGTGCAATGGAGACCTGCGTGTGACCACCATCAAACTTCCTGACTGCTACCTGAATAAGTGCCCAGCCAAAGGAGAGCAGTCTCCCCAAAGACAATGAGAAGGTTAAGTCTGATGAGACTATGGCTTACAAGCGTGTGTTTCTGAGAGCTTTCTTTTCTTTTTATCAAAATGGTATCTTTAGTTACATATTTAAAAAGTCTCCAGAAAAGATCTTCAAAGGAGAACACTGTTCCTTAAAAAATGTAGGTTTACACCAGAGCTAGGCTAGGCCAGCCCCACATTCAGATGCCACTCAGGTAGGCACCCGCAACCTCTGCCTGTTCCCAGACTCCATGGCAGAACCTGACACAAAAGACTCTGTGACAACAAGCGATACCTAGATACCTACTGATAAGGAAGCAAAACGCTACAGGATAAAACCTGCTCACTTGCCCTCTGATACCCATCCACACGTTGAGGAAGGTAAGCATCACAGAAAATGCCCAGGTCACTTGAGCAGGTGAGAAAAGAGACAGGAAGTGTCATGAGCACTGAGATTTAAAGGACAGGAAGTGTGTTTTGTTGTTACTGGTGGTATTTGCTGGGGTGGCAGAGAGTGAGTGAGAAATGAATCAGGCAGAAACAGCCACAGAGATGGCATTGCAGAGATGCCTTTCTTTCTGCAAAATTCAAACATCTAATGTGCTGCTTTGTGTACACACATTTGGATGTAGAGGAGTCCAAGTTTGATCCCTGGGCAGTCCCAAAAACACCTGGGCGGCCCAGATGTGCCACCATACCAAAGCTCCTTCCTCAAGTGAGCGCCTGTGTCTATTCCACGAGCAATGAGACTGAGAACAAGCAACAGGCTCGGACTTGGGGCTGCCCCAACATGGGGCTCATTCTGGGATCTGCCATGGCTATGCTACAGTTTGTTAGACAAACTCCACCACCATGTATTCCCAGTCTTACAAAGTTTGGGACCATTGATGCATGTTCTATCCCAGTGGTTCTAAAGTGGGGCGATTCTACCCCCGTCCCCAAAGGGATCCATAGCAATGTCTGGAGACATTTTGGGTTGTCATAAGGGGAAGAGAGAAAGTATTACTGGCATCTAGTGGGTAGGGGCAGGGATGCTGTAACACCCTACAATGAACAGGACAGGCCCCACAACAAAGGAGGATCAGGCCTAAAAGTCCACAGTTTCTGGTTGAAGTCCTGCTCTATCCTCATGGCTTTGACACTGCTGTTTCCAAACGCCAGCCTTTGACATTTCACTTTCTATAAGATTGGGAGGAGAAGCGACTGAGCGCACTGACCTGCTTGCAGCCTTGCAACCCGTCCTGGAACAGCTGCTCCCGTGGGGTTCCCTCCCTCTCTTTCCGAAGGAGCCCCTCCCCACCCCCACAGCAGGTAAAAGGCATTAAGACAATCCTGGGGCTCATGTTCTTAGCATTGTACCCTGTGGGTCGTCCAGGATTGAGATCTTGGGTAGAGAAACACTATGTTCTGCATACTTCACATAGCCTGTCACAAGATAAAAGTTGGAGCCCAGGTTTTTCCCACCTGTAAACATTAATGCTAACTCTTACCTTTACAAGGTGCCTGGCAAGTTTACCCAGCCCCAAAGCATAATTCCTGTGAGAGGTTTAAAGGCGCTTAAAATAAGCCTCTCCTTTAAGGGACACATGCCACCTTACCATAAATTAACAAACTAATTAGCCACCTTCCTTTGTGTTGGCAGCTGGCTGAAACCATCCGCATGCTCTGTGGGTACAGAATGCTCTGGACCTGCAGCAGAGCCAGGCCTGCTTTGGTTTGGGGGCCACAGTCAGAGGAGAGAACAGGGTGGGTGTGGAGGTACGGGAGGGTGGGAAGGTGGTCCCGGGGCCAGGCTGAGAGAGGGCAGGGAGAGGATGCTGGCAGCACCCACACTGCACAACCACCATCCCCCTCCACCGAGAATTCCAGGGCTCCCCGCATCACCCCAGGAACCTCTCTAGCCTCCCTGCCCCGCTCAGCAGGCACATTTGGCTCATTGCCACAGCTCACAGCACATCCCACAGCTCCATGTCACAGTCCTGGGAGGGTCGAGGGGAGCTCCGAGGCCTCTAACTCGCCCAGCGCAGACAACGCAGATTGTGAAATGACTTCTCGAAGTACTCCTGACTCTACAAAGCCACGGTTTTTCTGTTATTTCATAAAAATATAGGCTCTCCTTTTACTCGTCACAGTGTCTTAAAGGAGGTAAGCTACTACAGTATTAACCCCATCTACTGAAAAAACATGGCCACTGTGCCAGCCAGGGTTCAGGGACATGACCTACCTAAGGCAGACGTGGTCCCTGCCCCGAGGAAGCTACATCCTAATGGGGCGACGGACCTGACGACACTCACAGAACTGGTGGTTAAAGCTGTGAGGGTGACCGTGGCCGAGATGGCTGAGTGCCGGGGCTACAGAGCAGACCCCTGGCTGCTGTGGGGCCGGAGTGTGGGTTGGCAGGCGGCTCGGAGGGAGCGGCCTCAGGTGGAATGGGCAGAGGGCTGCAGCACTGTCCAGGGGACGGTGATGGAGGCTCGGATGGTGCTGAGATGGCAGGGAGGGAAATACGTACAGAAAGTAAAATGTAGTAAGAGCTAATCATGCATCATGCGTTTTATAGTTTCACTTTCCCCTAATGTTTCAGATTCAAAGTAGAGCAGCCTTCATGAGTCAGAAAGAAAGACCAGCCATTCTGAAGTCAACATCCAAGTAAGAAGAGAAAGAACTCTGGAGTTTGGACATGGCACGAAGCATTGACGTCAGACACACCTGCTTTTCCATCACACGCTTTATGTGAAATGGCAGGGACTCCACCAGCACCTCACAGGAGCCTCAGTGATTTGAGGCAAATGCAGAGAGCTCAAAACCACGCTGCTTCATCCGCTTCCTCAACACAGGTTCACTGAGCACCTACTATGTGCCACCCATGCTTCTGGTCACTGGAGAGACCAAAGACCAAAACCGAGCCTGTGCCCTCACAAAACCCACATTCTAGTGGGGCAGCTAGATCCCCTCAAAACCAAAACCCAGGGACACATTACAGTGTGTCGGGTGATGATAATTGCTGAGAAAAATACAGCAGCGAAGGCAGACATGGGTATCTGGTGTGGAGTGGTGCAAATTCAAACAATCAGAGAAGCCCTCACTGGGAAAGTGACATTGGAGCAAGGACCTAGGGAGGTGGTGAAAACCCTAAAGACAGCTGGAGACAGCTTTCCTGGCAGAAGACTGGCCAGAGCAAAGGCCTCAAGGCAGGAGCAGCTCTAGACTCACAGCTGCCAAGCTTGGCCTACAGCACAGGCCACTTCCAGACAAAACCCCTGGCAGGGACCCTGACAACCCAAAACACTCCTTCTGAGCACCTCTAACCACAGGACTGGGAGCCTGAGAAACAGGGCTGCCCATGAGGACTCAGGTGCCTCTTGCACCAGAGTCTGACGTCAGCCTAACCCAGGAGGTACTCTCCAGCATCAGCCCTAGGCTCCGAGATGCTGGCCATCAGACAGACCACTGCCGCTCCAAAATCGTCCTGGCAGTGTCCCCTCTGAACCAGCCTTCTGGGTGCAATGATACAGGAACTCCTCAGGGGTAGCCTCCCTCCTTGGTGAAATTCTGCGATTTCCTTCCTGCCTCGGCCACACTCGCCAGCCAAGCGCCTCAGCCCAAGACCAGTCTCAGGGCCTCTGCCTGATGGACATGTTTACAGGAAGAGTTGACACGGTGCTCATGTTTTCCCTTCCCGGGCATAACCCACTGGCACAGGTATTTTAATGAATAATTTTACTTCTGCAGTTCAAGAAAATGATGTTTGCAACTTTATCTTGTAAAGCATTTTTTAAGCATCAACTATGAAATGAAAGGCCAGAGAAAAAAAGCCCTCTTCCTGTGTGAAAGTCCAAAAGCTTGTTTGTACCACAGATGTTCCCCTAAACGGCTAATTTTTTAACATTCTGAGGCAGTGATTAAGCTGCACGAACAGCCAGGTTCCGGAGGACACCTGCTGACCAGCAGCCACGTGTGGGGTGGGGGCCTGGTCAAGCTCCCGGGGCACTCCCTCCACCCTGCCACCTCAGCCCTGTGGGGGCAGCAGAGCCCAGGGAGCCCAGGCATCCCGGAGCTGGCAGGTGAGTCATTCCCTCCCAGCACAGCCCAATCAGCTGGCCACCCACTTAGTGACCCAAAATTATTATAAGTAAATACTTATGGTTACTCAATAGCTTCTGTAGAAACATAAAGCAACAAAAACCCTAGGTGTGCCTGTCCATTATCTGTCTCCCTCACAAAATGGAGCTGGTCACAGAGACGTTCTCAACAACATGGCCCTCTGCCTGGTCCTGCGGACACCAAGTCACCATGAGAGTTATGAACGCAGACCTGTCCTAAACACACACACGCACACCGCCGCACCCCAAATCCAAGTGCCTTATACCCAAGGGAAGTCTGGGAGCTGTGGCCTGCCTAGCGAACAGCTTCACATTAGTGTCCTCACCCCCGTGGCTCCCGATGGCCAAAGCCCCACATCAATGCCGCTCCTTTCCCTCCAGGAGCTTCCCACAGGCTGTGCCCCAGACCTCATTCTTCCCCTATCACTTCTCAGGATGAGACCCCATCCGTCTCCCCACCTCACCTCTCAGGATAGGACCCCTTCTGTGCTTCCCTCTTCCTACCTCCTGTGCACCGACAGGATGAGCTTCTATAACCACATCGCTGCTGAGAACAAGGGAACGCGTGCCCTTGGCACAGCTCTACCAAGAACAGGGAAGGATGGCTGTTCTCAATGAACTTGACTAGGAGACTCAGCCATCGACATCGGCCCCTTTGGGGTCTCCGGAAAAGTGGGTCTCGCCATGTCCCCACAATTCCACTCACCATAAACCTCCTATACCTGTCAGTGTGTTGTGACAAATCGGTAAGTGGGAATGTCACCTGCTGTGCTTGCCCCACCTTTGCAGGGCAGGCACACAAGGTTTTGGGATTTCAGCCAAGACTACAACCAGCCCTTCGCAACAGCATCTCTGATAGGAAGCCAATCCCAAGTTTTAAACCACTGACTTCCAAACGAACTTGTAAAAATACAGTCCATGTGTAAACTGGGCATTTTCTGTAGGCTTCAATTTGTCTCACAGTTTGTATGTAAGACCTTAAGAGTCTCAACTTCTTTGCCTTTTTCCGTACTGAGTTCAGCAGCCTCCTCTTACAAGCAGAAATTCTCAAGGGAAAATTACTTTGAAATCAAATTATATTTTCATACCCACCAAAAGCATATCACGGCTCAATTTAACTATGTATTACCTTGCTTAGCCACTAAGAGTTAGGAAAACATCGGCATCAACACATCCAGTATCCAACATTCAGAGCTGCTAAAGATAACAAACATTTGATTGACAAATATATTAAAATGCAAGTGAATCTGGGGCAAAGGAAATAAATGACCCTTGGATTTCTTTTCCCGCTACCATCGAGTCTCACTAAGGAGACACCTTGCCACCTCCAAGTTACAGACAAAAGCTTCCCTAACCCTCAGGAGACTAACTGCCAGGTAGACGAAAGCTGATTTTTAAGGTACAGAGCCATATGTTCTTGAAGAACACCTTGCAGTCCTTAATTACCGGGCAGCATGACAGAGTTGCACTGGGCAGATGAGGAAGTGGAGAGGTGAGACAACTTGCCCAGGTTTCAGGAGGCCACTGCAGGTGCCTGGGGGAGAAGCCACAGCAGGCGGCCAGAGGCGGCTTCCCAGGGCACCAACAAAGAAGATGGGACCAACTGAAGAAGAGCTTTCTCCTCCAAAATACTTTGAAGGGGTTGTATTAGGATGGAAGACTCATGGTTTTTCCTCCTCTGTTTTGAAATGTAGTTTAAAACACTTGACAATAATAGATGATTTCTCCATTCATCCCTCCAACAGGCAGTCACTGAACACCTACCAAATGCCCAATCCTGCCTGAGCTTGGGGACTAGGTGAAGAGCAGACAGCGTCTGAGTCAGCGCCAGGAGGCCAAGGAATTGAATTTGGGGGAAGAGAGTTGACTGATATTCCTCGGATCCTCCTGGATCTTTATCTGCCCCTGCATCTCTATCGCTTTAGTAAGAATAAAATGGAAATTGAGCAAGAATTTCATATGAAGACTGAGCTTGGGGAGTTTGAAGCTAGATTCAGGGTCCTTACCATAAGAAACAGTCTTTCACCTGAGGGGGAGCCCTTTGATCTGCACCAAGACCAAGGATTCAAAGCTGGGGGCTTACCACCCCATATTTGAACAATCTCAACTGGATTCATTAAACATGTCTTGGCTCTTAAAATGAGTTTTTAAAATTTCTGAAAATCTGCTGAAGAAGAATCTAATTCCAGGCTATCACAAGTATAAACAGATCCAAAAGCTTAATCAATAGTTACTAAACTGTGCATACCTTTTGTGTGTGAACTAGTAACATGGCCTCGGGTAGACAGTTACAGTTATAGGGACCAGCAGAGAAGGAACTCTTAGAATGGGCACTCTGCCCCTCAATAGCCATCTGACCTTGAACAAGTTATGTCACCTCTGTGGCACAGACCCTTTACCTCCTGGTCA